CCTTTAAGAAAATAAAATAAAAGGACCAGCAATTATTCTCCTCTTAGATATAAGAAAATCTATATTTGAAGATGTCACGTTCCTATATGAACAAAATTGGTCTGTGTATGCTTTTCAGAGATTCAACTTGTTATTGGCCGTGTTGCTTTCAAATATTTTAATCCAGTCCTTGTGCAATTCACTCATGGACTCCCACCTTAAAAATAAGTAATTTACTTATAAGTGAACCTTTTGACCTTAGTCAAAGATGCTCGAGATTAATGCTCATTCTTAGCTGATATTTTCAAGCTCGTAATGTTTAGTCTTCACTATTCAAACGTTAGTATCCTAGAGATTAGAGAAAACGAGAGCCCAAAGAAAGTTATGGCACTTAATATGGAGTAGAGCCACAAATAATCATACACGTGTTATCCGAGAGATGTTCAAAGAACAATTAACAGTTGTGAGTAGGCATCAAATATTTTGTCCTAAAACACCATAGTAGACATATTATAGATCTATCAACTACATGGACATGGATGAAAATAAGGTAGAAAAAATGTCTGATGTAATTCACTACATAAGAATTTCGTTTCTTTTGTTATTAACAGAAGAACGACGCAAGACACTATATATTTCGACTCAAATCTTTGTGCTCCTAAAGAGTAAATGGACAAGAAAAATGCAAGATAACGATGATGTAAGATATGGAGAAGAAATAGAGTAGAGAAAAAGGTGAAATCGCAAGAATGCAACAACAAGAAGATTGAAACCAAAAAAATTATAAAGAACGAGATCAAAGGCTCGAATATGTAATCGCTGTCCTCAAACTATATTTGCCTCCTCTCGAGAATGATTGAGACGCTTAAAAATTTTGGTAAACGATTTTCAGGATTATATCAAGTCTTGTAAAGGATTTAATACTAAAATACAAGTGTAATCCTCCAAAACTATAAGAACACAAGGAAGGTTTGAGTATAAAATGTGAATCAAGAATTTGATCTTTGATTTTGAAATAAACCCTTGTTTGAGCCCCATTTTTCAACCAAAATACATTCTTCAACAGTGATTTGACATCATTTCAACCACACATTCTTCTATAAAATAATATTATACGCAAATAAAAAACTTTTCTTTATTTTTTAACCACACATTTCCCATCAATACACTATTCAAAAATTCATTTTCTTCACAAAAATTGGGCTCAAACAAGGGTTAAATATGGATCACAAATGTTTTTCACTTATATTTTTAGCTTTAGATGCATCACCTATTTATAGGCCACTACCAATGTGCATGAATTTGTGCCAAATAGGTTGAGAAGCCACCAAAATTTGGAGTTGCAACGGTAAAAAATTGACCTCCAACGGTCAATTTCATATAACTATGTGACCGCATAGTACTAATCTATGCGGTCGCATAGAACAACCCAAAGAGCCCCCAAATTCTCTGCAATAGGCCATACAACTGCATTACCTTTTTGCCTATGCGGTCGCATGGCACAAGGTTTTGCCTCTAATACCATTTTTTTTTATTTTTTTTATTTTTATTTATCCCATTTCATTTTTATTGAATGTTGAACATTAATTGCAACAATCCCCCACTTGTTCAAAATTCGAGAAAAGTTTTCATACTCAAATTATACTATACTCATGCATAAGAACTAGATATCTTTCGAATTGAATTTAACCATAATGTAATCCAAACAAAGTAAAGTTGAAATCACGAGTAGCCATAGCTTTGAACAAAGTACCACGTGTTCTCAAGTTCCTCATAACTTGCTTAGCGCTATTATGCCATTGCGCTAATCCTATTCGACAAACTTTTAAGAGAGAAACTCGAACTCTCAATTGAAGCAAAACCACCTAGAAGTTGGTTTAGGTGAAGTTCTTCCGGTACTTTTGTTATTTTTAGAAGTACTTGTGTTTTAGTACTGAACTTCATTAATAGTTTTAATGCTCAACCCTCATTTTAGTAACAACCAACATTATTTCACTTAGGATAGGGTTATTACGGATTTGAATAATGCTAAAACCATCCCACATATCGAATAACTTGTTTTTACCCTTTGAACCTATGGATTACTTTTTGAGTAATGACAGATAAGGTTGCCATTATTGGTGGACCTTTTTAGTTAAGAAATTTCAATCACATCCTCTTCGAAGTAGATGCTACTAAATCTCTATTTAAAGGTTTAGTCAAAGGATCCACCAGATTCTCAATTGACCTTACATAATTCAAGGGAATTGTTCTATCTTTGATTAATTTTCTTATGTAGTCGTGTCTTAGACTCATATGTCTTGACTTTCCATTGTGTATCTCATTGTATGCTTTCACTAACGTGGCTTAACTATCACACATGATAGGTAGTGAAGACATATTCTTTGATCCCAAAGGTATATAGAAGAGATCCTTAAGCTACTCAACCTCTTTTCTGGTATCCGATAGTGCCACAAATTCAGATTCATGGTCGAGTGTGTTATACATGTTCGTTTCTTTGATTTTCAAGAAACAATACCTTCTCCTAGAGTGAACACCAACCCGATGTAAATTTACTCTTACCAGTGCTAGATATCTAACTAGCATCGATAAATCCCTCCAATACCGTCGAGAGTTTATTATATTGTTGGCCTAAGTTCTTCGTTTTCTTTAAGTATCCAAGAACTTTCCCATTAGCCTTCCAATGATCATTGCTCGGATTGCTGGTAAACTTGCTAAGCTTATTTATTACATAGGTTATATCCAATCTTGTGCATTGTACTACATATATAAGACTTCCTATAGTACTTGCATATTCTAATTGAGCAATCGCCCTTTCATCATTCTTTATAAGTTTTGAACTTGGATCAATCGGGATACTATACCCTTTCATGTTCAAATGGTTGAGCTTATTTATTACACTCTCTATATAATGTGATTGACTTAGATGGTAACCCCCACTAGTTTTTGTGACTTTGATACACAAAATGGTATTCACCTCTCCAAGATCCTTCATCTTGAATATGTAATAAATAAACCTTTTTATTTCTTCTATACCGTCCATGTGATTACTTATAATCAACATGTCGTTAACATACAAGCATATAAATGTCACGTAATCATCACATGTTTTAGAATATAAACATCTATCTACGCTATTATATTTAAATCCAAATGATATTATTATTAAGTCAAACTTCTCATGCCATTTTTTAGGTACCTGCTTCGAGCCGTATAAAGATTTCACCAACTTGCATACCTTATGTTCGTTTTCAGGTAGAATAAACTCTTCGGTTTGTTCCATATAGACCTTTTCATCGAGACCCCCATTTAAGAATGCCGTCTTGACATCCATTTGATGAGCATGCAAGTCATGTATTGAAGCTAACGCAAATAATATCCTAATAGATGTTATTTTGGCTACTGGTGCATGGGTATCAAAATAATCAATTCCTTCATTTTGTCGATAACCTTTGCCTACCACTCTAGTTTTGAACGTATTTAGAGAGCGGTCAACATTATATTTTTTCCTAAATACCCATTTACATCCAATAGGTTTGGATCCGGGTGGTAAATCGACAAGTTTCCAAGTTTTATTAGATATTATTGAATCCATTTCATATTTAATTGCATCTTTTCAGAAGATGCTATCATGAGACGTCATAGCCTCTTTATATGTTTTAGGATCGATTTTCACTTGTAGAACAAAATGAATTGTTCTTACAATATTGAAGAAATTTCCCTCTACTAAGTAAAAGGAGATAAGTTGAGAATCAATTTCATCCGATCCCAAAGACTTCTCAACTCGAGTTCTTTTGCTTCTTTGTGGTTCATTAGACTCAATAATATCTTTAGAAAACATTTCTTCAAATGTTTCACTCAAGCTAGGGATATTTTCAAGATTTTCTCTTAATTCATTATCCGAAGGTAACAAATCTTCAAAGAGCTCTATATCACTTGATTCGATAATCACATTGATCTCCAAGTTTAGCAATCTATAAGATTTGCTATTGTTAACAAATCCAACGAAGGCACATTTAATGCCGTTTGGACCCAATTTGATCCTTTTAGGGATCGTGTTCTTACAATAAGCAAGACACCCCCACACTTTGAAGTATCTAATGTTCGATTTTCTTCCTTTCCACAACTCATAAGGAGAAACATTCGTGTGTTTAGAAAGAATCCTATTAAGTATCATAGATGCACTTAATAAAGTTTTACCCCATAAATTAAACGGCAACTTAGCATATATAAGTATCGCATTAATCATTTCTACTGAGATTCTATTTTTTCTTTCAACCAAACCCTTTTTTAGGATGTCCTAGGTGCAGAGCATTGGTGAATTATGTTATGTTCACAAAACAAGTTCAAATCGCTAGAAAAGTATTCACCACCTCTATCACTAAGGTTTTTATTTTCTTTCCTAGATGATTTTCAACTTCGCTTTTATACATCTTAAACATGTCAAAAGCCTCATGTTTATGTTTCATCAAATAAATATAAGTATATTTACAGAAGTTATCAATAAAGGTAATAAAATATCTATTTTCACCTCTAGTTAGCATGTCATTTAGTTCACATATATCGATATGGATTAATTCTAAGGTACTTGAAGTTCTCTTAACACCTTGATATGGTCTTTTAGTCATTTTTTATTCTACACATGTCTTGAATTTATATTCTTTATTTTCACCAAGGTTCTAAAATGTGTAATGCATGGTAATGCGTTTCGATCGAGCGTCAAGCATTATAAGAATATGCGTGCATATGCGAAGCATATACGTTATTATGCATTTTGCCAATTTTTAATATTTTAAACTAATAAATAAATAAAATAATGTATTCTTTCAATTTTTATGCATATTCTTTGAATTAAAAAAAAATTACTCAAATTATAAATACTACAATAAGACAATTACTTCAAATTTAACTATATATTTCAAATTTTCAACAAAAACATTTGCTCAAAATCATAAATACTACAGTTACTTGATAATCAATTCCTACGATTCGATTAAACAAGAATATTGACAAAAAAAATTCTAAATCTTGTCTAGCTCTTTATCGGATTCTAATTCAATCTCGTCTTCTTCATTCAAGTCATTTTCAGTGTCATCGGATACGAAATCATCTTTATCGGGCTCCCTTTTTTCGACTTGAGAATTTCTATTACCTCTTTTAGATGGTAATATATTGTCAGCTTTCTCCTCATCATCACAACAATCAACAATCCAAGATTGTGCATTACTAGTATCACTTACCAATAAAGTTTATAATTTATCCTTCCTCTTCTTTTTGTTCATCAACCTTGCATTAAATTGAACATAAACTAGGTTTTTCATCCTTGTGGCATCTAAGCGGTTCCTCTTCTTGGTGTGTACCTACATAAAGAAGTTTAAAAATTTTAGTGTGCTAATTTAAATTATCAAATAACTACTAAAGTAATAACTAAAATGCATCAACGTAATTATTTAATTAGTACTTACCCCTTCAAAGACACTCCAATTTCTCTCACAACTGGACGAACTAGTGGTCAAACCAAGGATCCTCTTTGCCATTAATTTCAAGTTTGGTGTTTCATTGCCATTAAAGTCCCACCAACAACTAACTAGTAAATGCAAAAGAAAGAGATAAAAATATTATAATATGTACTTATGGTATGTTAACAAGAAAAAGAATAATAATAATACTAACATACCCGGATTGTATTCTCACATCCACATGCTGCTAGTTTTCTTCCATATGCACCTTCTTTTTGAGTGTATCTTTGCAACTCAACATTAATCACATGATGTTGCATTTGAGCATCGGAAAAGAACTTTTCAACACAAAGAATCACATTATTAGTTATCAATTGATTATCTTTGATTTTTGGATTCTTGAAGAAGTAAAAGGGATTCAAAAGATAAGCTGTTGTGTGAAGTGGGCTATCAATTCGATCCTTGCCCTTTAGATCAATAATGTTCAAGATTGGCATATAGTCACTTTCCCTCTTCAACGTCTTTATAATGTCATCCTTTGCCTTTAGTAGCTCTCCATAAACAAATCCCATTGAAGGTTTCTCCTCTCCATCAACTAGTCTAAGAACTTTCACTAATGGAGTAAACACTCTCAAACACAAGTTTATCAAGATCCAAAAATCATTGGGAACAACAATATCAAAGGCCTCTTTTCCCTTTTTGCTCTTAGACCATTTTGTATTATCCCATTCATTGCTAGTCATCATATTTCTTAACTCTTGTTTTTTATCGAGCAAACTTTGTTATGTTAAGAAAGATGTAGCAAATCTAGTGACTCCCGGCCGAACTATCTCCTTTTTTGTAAACTTCCTCATTAGTGTCAAAGTCTTATGATGTGCATAGATGAAAATAGTAAATGATTTTGCCTTCCTAATCACTCCTCTGAAGCTAGGAAGTTTAGAGATTCCCTCGAGCATAAGGTTCAAGGTATGAATAGCACAAGATGTCCAAAAGATGTTAGGCCTTTGCATTGATAACAAATTCGCGACGGCCATGTTATTGGAAGTATTTTCGGTTACAATTTGAACCACATTTTCCTCTCCAACCTCTTTAATACATTCATTGACATATTCAAAGATGTATTCACCGGTGTGAGAATCATCATTAGTTTCCTTTGAAGAAAGAAATGTGGTTCCCAATTTTCAATTCACACACAAATTCATGATACATCTTCTTTTGCTATCACTCCAAGCATCGGTCATAATAGAACACCCGTTATTTTTCCATTCTTCTTCTTGCTTCTTGCTTCTTAAGAGTTTCTTTTATTCTCTCCACCTCTCCCTTCAAAAGTGGCTTCCTTAATTGGTATTGTGAAGGAGGGGTGTAACTCGAACCATATTGACCAAGAGCTTCAACAAATTTTTTAAAACTATCGTTATCAATGGCATTAAAAGGAATTCCGGCTTCGTATACCCATCTAGCCAAATATTGATGAACTTCTAGTAACCTTTTCTTAGCAATTGCATCATTGATATTTTGTTGTTTCATTTTCTTACTTGCAAACATAGAAGCATCATCAACCTTAATTGGCCTTGAAAAGTTATCCATGGGACCCACATGTATAGGCCTTTTCCTTCCCCCTTCAATGATAGAAATTTCTTCCTCTTCTTCCTCACGTGTAGACATAGATATAACTACATCTTCCCTCAACTTAGCTTTATTCAATGCATTCTCTAACTTCTTAGACTTAATCTCTTCAAGTGCTTCACGACACTTGGCTTTTTATTCTTGACTTGCTTTAGGACACGGTTTCACACCCATTCCCTTGATGCCTGCTATGTGCACTTTATGCCTATTAATCCCGGCCTTTGTAACTTTGTCACACAATGTGCATCTCACATTATTAGGTTTACTAACATCTTCAACAATTGTAGTTTCCCATCTAACATCTCCTGAACTCTTTTTCAGCTCATTATCTTCTGAAATGGAATTAGATGCCTTCGAAAAATCATTTTGCTCCATTGGCTTCTAGTAAATTGAAAAAAAAAATGATAAAAGCAAGAATCAGCTTGTGAGCAATTATTGAATTTCGTTTGAAGAATCATCTTGCGCCATTGGCAGCGGACTTAACAGTGAACTGGTCAGAGTTCATGTTGTAATCTCACTAACATAATGACCAATTATTTAATTTCATTGACCGATTATTTAATTAATATATTATCATCACAGCTTTAGTAGATATCTTAAATTATATGATTCATCCATATTATATTATATAACTTGCTCCTCTCTCTTACGCAGTTACGCAGACTGACAGGCACTATTAGAAATTGGTTAATTTCTTTCTGTAAACACCATAACCGTTCATCACCATAAAATTAAGAATAATATTAATAATAAAATTGAAATAGTAGACTTACATAAAAGCCAAAAATGAACAGGTTTCCTTTAGTGCTTTTTAAGCTTTTCCTTGGTGGGCGGCAGCCAGCAGGACGATGGGCATCGGGATTCAAGGTATGTATAATGTCCAGATGAAGATTTATGCTACAGTCAAAACCCTGGAGATTGTTGTATATAATTGATGGACTTATGTGATTTGGGCCAATTTGATGTTTGTTGGGATCAATTTTATTTTTTAAGTTATAAAAATGGGTTGAACTTTGTTATGTTAATTGGAACATATTTTTAATTACAAGTGCGTGTGTATTTTGGAGAATATGCTGCATATGCGGTCAACAAAATGAGTTGACCGCATTATCATAGGCATACCCCATATGCGATGCTTTTCAAAAACACATGCATATGTGCGCATTTTAGAACACTGATTTTCACCACATGAAATCAAATCACTTTTTTTTATACATTTCAAAGTACTTTTACGAATATATCCTAATCTAGCATGTCATAATGAAAATAAGTCAACAGCATAAGCAAAATAAGTTTTATTCATTTCATTGCCAACGGTACAAAGTTTGACCATTTCTTCACAGAATAGCCTTTTCCAATAAATTTTCCTTTGAGAGACAATACAAGTTTACTGGACTCAAATACACTTTTAATGCTTGGTTTTCTTAAGAGATTTCCACTAACCAAGTTCCTATTTATATCCGGAACATGCAGTACATTTGTAAGAGTAATGATTTTCTTGAAAGAGAAGATGACGTCAACATTTCTTTTTCCAATAACCTTAGATCCAACTTCGTTGCCCATTTGAATCTCTTGATCTCCATCCACCTCATGATATATTTTGAATAATGATTTGTCATATGATAGGTGTATATTAGCACAAGTATCATATCACCACCCGGGAACCTTTCCCTTGATCAAATTTATTTCACTTATAGCGGCCACAATTTTGTTCTCTTGGATAGAATTTATTTTACCTTCGGAGTTGTTTCTTTTTCGGTGTCTACAATCCTTTGCGTAGTATTCAAATTTTCCACACACAAA